CCCCCCCCGCACCCCCCCACTCAACGCTTCCCTTCCCCGCTCACCCCCTCACCTTCCCATCGATGATGGCTGACAGACTGAGGTAGTCGAAGATTTCAGTGCAGTACCGCCACACAGTCACCGAGCCATACTTGCGCAGGCACTCATCGTAGAAGCCATAGACCTGGGTGATCTGTCGGCTTTCGTGATTTCCCCGGATCAGGGTGATTCTGTCTGGATATCGCACCTAAAGAACTCGGCAGAGTCAGGAGAGACAGAACGAGAGACTCAGGCATGTTGTGAAGACAGCAACAGTCTTTAAACATTATACCAACCTGCACACACTGCGCTCGGCTATTAAACACATCAGACAACCCGGGACAGGATAGCGGGACAGGCAGAGACACACAGAGGGTGAGGGAGGCAGATACACACCAAAGCAGGGGAGGAGGCAGAGACGGGCCGGGGGGGGGGGGGCAGTGAGTGAGAGGGAGGGAGGCAGAGACCCAGGGAGGGAGGGAGGTAGAGAGAGAGAGAGACAGCGAGACAGACACACAGGGATGGAGGGAGAGAGAGAGCGAGAGGGAGGCAGGGAGCGACAGAGAAAGAGGGAGCGAGAGGTTCTACTGAGGAAAGGGAATTGAGCTTGTCAGCACCACCCTGTGTCCTCGTGTAGAAAGTACAACTCCCTCTCCCATCACTCAGAACGGGGTAAAGCTCCCTCTACACTGTGCCCCCCCCTCCCCACCCCCATCAAACACTCCCAGGGACAGGGACAGCACGGGGTTAGCTACAGAGTAAAGCTCTCTCTACACTGTCCCTCCCATCAAACACTCCCAGGGACTGGGACAGAGACAGCACCAGGATAGATACAGAGTAAAGCTCCCTCTACACTGTTTCCCCCCCCCGCCATCAAACACTCCCAGGGACAGGGACAGCACGGGGTTAGATACAGGGTAAAGCTTCCTCTACACTGTCCGCCCCCATCAAACACTCCCAGGGACAGGGACAGCACAGGGTTAGTCAGCGCTGACCCTCCGACAGTGCGGCGCTGACCCTCCGACAGTGCGGCGCTCCCTCGGCGGTGACCCTCCGACAGTGCCCCGCTCCCTCGGCGCTGACCCTCCGACAGTGCCCCGCTCCCTCGGCGCTGACCCTCCGACAGTGCCCCGCTCCCTCGGCGCTGACCCTCCCAAACACTTCACCGTCAGCGTGTGTTGCCGGATGTTGTGGTGAACCTGGTGTCCTGTGAGAGGAAATGCAGTGGGAGCCGGGCGAGAATACCCCAAAGCGAGCCTGGCACCTTCTCACCTTCAGAGCAAGCAGCAGCAGGAAGGTCTCGACACTGTAGAAGCCTCGGTCTACAAAGTCTCCCATGAACAGGTAGTTGGTCTCCGGGACATCACCACCCACCTGTGGTGACGGCAGGGGGAACGGAAGAGAACAGAATGAGAAAGTGTGTCAGGGACGTAAACAAGGAGCAAGAAAGACTCTCCAAAATTCACCTCACTCCCCCATGTGCCTCGGGGACTGGCTTCAGGCATCCAGGCACAATGCACCCCAGGGAGAGTTCACACAACAAGCTGAGTAGCTGGGAGTAAGGGACAAGGGCTGGCGGAGGGAGGGAGGGAGGGCTGGGGCACAGAAACTGGCACCTACCCTGAATAATTCCTTCAGGTCATAGAACTGACCGTGGATATCACCACAAACCTGGAAACAAGGAGAACGACCATCAGAAACCTCTCACACAACGTTCAAAAATTCTGCACTTACTCGTTTATCGCAATCACCGACCCTCCGACAGTGCCCCACTCCCTCAGCACTGACCCTCCGACAGTGCCCACTCCCTC